GAGACACACACCTACAGTCTACCTTCGTCCCTCTGTCTGTCTGTCTCTCTCTGTGTCTCTGCCCTGTCCATGAGTCTCTGTACCTCTCCCTCTCCTCCATGGCACCTTTACATCTCACTCCTTCTTTCCCTCGGTTTCTTTCCCTCTCTCCCCCTATCCCCATCTCCTCTGTTCCTGATTAACTTACGTAATGTGGAGTGAGAGGATGTGCTCATGACAAATCTGACTAAATCCCTCAACATGCAACAGGAGAGATTCAGTCAGCGAAACATTTGTAACGTGGGTCTGAACTTAAATGGGTTTTAGCCTGTTTTAAGAGGGCCCATGCAGTGGTAGGTCTGAGGTTTGGTTTGGGTAAGTTGTGAGAGAGATGTCTTTGTGTTACTATTGTGTGTATTTGAGCAGCCCCTGCTGGAGAGAAGCGGATTTGCATTAGTGCTTATTGTACAGGGCCCATATTCATTAAAGGTCCAATGCCAGCAAGCTCTCACAGTCTCACGTCAGCATCAAACGTCAAATTTCGAAGTTGTTCCAAATGTCAAATTTCAAAGTGTTTGGTTACTTCTCTGTATCGTTTCAAGGTTAAGTTTAGCCATTAACTCCAACATCTTAAGGTTAGGCATTTACTCCAAATGGTTAAGATAAGGGTTAAGGTTTGGGATAGGCTTAAAACCAAAATCAAAAACATATTTCTATCGCTGGATCCGAACATGCAACCTTTGGAACCAGAGGCAGATGCTTACAAACAACCCACCATCCCCATCACCCTAGCAAAACCAAAGCCTACTTGAAGGTAACAGTGCTCACTGTTGCCCCTAGTGGCCGGTTTCGACGTCATCTCCTGACGTCCTCAGGCATGGATGGACCTTGAATACTGACTTGTATCATGGGTGACCTGCCTGCCAATGCAGACGTAAAAAAATACAAAATATGTTTCTCAATATCAAATCATTTCTGGGTAACAATTAACCCCCTAGAGTCAGTGTCCGCGCCCCTGCATAGATCAAATTGGCATAATAAAAAAATCCACATAAAAATCTGTTGAAGTTCTTTTTTTGTATGGGCTGCGTCTCAATCCACCACTTCCGCCAATGGCAGCCTTCTGCATCTGTGGTGGAAGGTGGCTGAGCTACAGCGGTGTTTGTCAGACCATGAGAGATCCCAAAAATCGGTCTTCTCACAAAAACAATCTGCCAACTTCTGTCCGTAGCGTCCGAAAAGTTTAGGCTACACACTAATATGACCCCTCTATGGAAAGGTGAGACTCTTTTGCGGTTTTTCTCTAGGACGCCCACAAGCCTCACAAGACTCATCTGAAGGTAGCCAGGTAACGGTTAAAAAAAGGAATGGAAGTATATATGGAAGTATATCTCTCAGATATACAGTAGGACATACACTTTAAAACAAACTTCATTCTGATTTATTTGTTCTGTTTTTCCATGTATGACTCTGTTATCCCCCCGGCTTAGATTTAAGCATTAAGTACCTTACTGTGATTGTTTTAAATTAGCAAAAAGCAATTTCTTAACGAAGAATTTTGCTAGGACTATCTGGGAGTGGTCTGAGTGAGGGGCCTAATTGGAGTAACCTGAAAACCTACTGTTATTGGCAGAGATGTGGGCAAACTCTCTTTGTTATTGGTCTATTAACTAATACTGCCTGGTGATGTCGCCAGGCGATCTGGAATCACCCCGCACCCCCCTGCCGATCACTCACACCCCCCTAGGAGGCGCGCCCCACAGTTTGGGAACCACTGCTCTAACTGACCTACCGATAAAGACAGCACCCATTAATATGTCCGTATGAAATCAATCTGAACCTGTAATAAACACCATAGCAAAAACCCGTAGACAGAGTGGAGGACAGAGGACCAAAACAAAGAGAAGTATTAGAGGGGGCTACCAAGGAGAATAGCTTACAGCAGAGGAAAGAAAGAAAGAGAGAACGAGAGGGATGAGAAGGATGTCTATGATAAATTGGTGTGTAGTTGTGTCCTGTGGTTGGTGTGTTGGTGTGTTGGGTGGCTCAGCCTCCTGTTTAAATGACCGTTCTGTTTAAGTGACTGTTATCGCATTAAGAAACATTGCTGATGTCCTGCAGAGTTGATATAATCAGTTCAGGAGGAGTCATTGTTTGTGTGTGTGTGTGTGTGTGTGTGTGTGTATGCATGTAAGCGTGCCTGTCTGCGTGAGTGCGTGCGTGGTTGTGTGAGTGTTCGTGCGTACGTGCGTGCGCACTTGTGTGCATGTGTGTGTAAGCATGCCTGCCTGTGTTAATATGTCTGTGTGTGTTTGGGCCGGGCGCGGCTCATGATAAATGTCTCCCCCCCTCCTAGTCCTAGCCTAAGGGATACGGCTTTGGTTTCATTCATTTCAACACAATCATTCCTTTTAGGAGTGAAGGGTACTTTATAAGATTCTTTATTTCCTTCATTCCCTTTATTTTAGGTCTTCGGGTACCGAAGGGTGCCGGACACTTTTTAACATTCTCTGTTTTAGTCCCCCCCTCCCCCCTCCCCCCTCCCTCCCTCCTTTCTGTATTAATTCATTCCCCACCGACAGCTCAGAGGGCAGTGTGGTTCTTATTGTCCCCCACAATGAAATCAGGGAGGGGACTGTGGATCTCTCTCCGTCTGTTAGTACGTTTAGCCACACGCGATTTCAGACAGCACTGGCCCGATTTTCACGAAACTTGGGTGAATGATGTGTCTTGCTGTAGAGATCCGGCATTTACTAAATTACACTGATTGGCGCTATAACAGGAGATTGAAAATGCAAAATTGTAAAGGTCCCGCCCCGCACCCAGTTTGACCTAGTCATGAAATCCGGTTCATAGGTCACTCTCCTCACAAGGAAAAAATAGCCTCAGGGACCCATAAGGTCCACCATGATGGATCTTCCGCCATTTCGAATTTTGTGAAGAACACGCTGTTCTTCTGGCACCGAATGACCGATCTGCATGAAACTTGATATGTGGCATCTATGGACAAAGGTCTCTCAACGCAATATTTTCTAGACCAATAAACATTCACATGGGCGTGGTCTGGTACATACAGTGCATTCGGAAAGTATTCAGACCCCTTGTCTGTTTCCACATTTTGTTACGTTACAGCCTTATTCTAAAAAGTATTAAATAAAAAAAAGTAAAAATATTTTTTTGCATGTTTATATATATTCTTTTACAGAAATACCTTATTTACATAAGTATTCAGACCCTTTGCTATGAGACTCGAAATTGAGCTCCGGTGCATCCTGTTTCCATTGAGCATCCTTGAGATGTTTCTACAACTTGATTGGAGTCCACCTGTGGTAAATTCAATTGATTGGACACGATTTGGTAAGGCACACACCTGTCTATATAAGGTCCCACAGTTGACAGTGCATGTCAGAGCAAAAACCAAGCCATGAGGTCGAAGGAATTGTCTGTAGAGCTCCGAGATATGATTGTGTTGAGGCACAGATCTGGGGAAGGGTACCAAAACATTTCTGAAGCACTGAAGGTCCCCAAGAACACAGTGGCCTCCATCATTCTTAAATGGAAGAAGTTTGGAACCACCAAGACTTTTCCCAGAGCTGGCCGCCTGGCCAAACTGAGCAATCGGGGGAGAAGAGCCTTGGTCAGGGATGTGACTAAGAACCTGATGGTCACGCTGAGCTCCAGAGTTCCTCTGTGGAGATGGCAGCACTCCACCAATCAGGCCTTTATGGTAGAGTGGCCAGATGGAAGCCACTCCTCAGTAAAAGGCACATGACAGCCCACTTGGAGTTTGCCAAAAGGCACCTAAAGACTCTCACACCATGAGAAACAAGATTCTCTGGTCTGATGAAACCAAGATTGAACTCTTTGGCCTGAATGCCAAGCGTCACATCTGGAGGAAACCTGGCACCATCCCTACGTTGAAGCATGGTGGTGGCAGCATCATGCTGTGGGGATGTTTTTCAGCGGCAGGGACTGGGAGACTAGTCAGGATCAAGGGAAAGATGAACGGAGCAAAGTACAGAGAGATCCTTGATGAAAACCTTCTCCAGAGCGCTCAGGACCTCAGACTGGGGCAAAGGTTCACCTTCCAACATGAAAACGACCCTAAGCACACAGCCAAGACAACGCAGGAGTGGCTTCGGGACAAGTCTCTGAATGTCCTTGAGTGGCCCAGCCAGAGCCCAGACCTGAACCCGATCGATCATCTCTGGAGAGACCTGAAAATAGCTGTGCAGCAACGCTCCCCATCCAACCTGACAAAGCTTGAGAGGATCTTCAGAGAAGACATGGAAGAAACTCCCCAAATACAGGTGTGCCAAGCTTGTAGCGTCATACCCAAGAAGACTTGAGGCTGTAATCGCTGCCAAAGGTGCTTCAACAAAGTACTGAGTAAAGGGTCTGAATGCTTAATGTTAATCTGATATCAGTTTTTTATTTTTAACAAATTTGCAAACATTTCTAAAAACCTGTTTTTGCTTTGTCATTATGGGGTATTGTGATAAAGATAAAAACAATTTAACGTAACAAAATGTGGAAAAAGTCAAGGGGTCTGAATACTTTCCAAATGCACTGTAAATGCATATAAATCAGTCCAGGATATTTGTATTGTAACAAAATTTGGTACACATATTGCAAACACTGTCAAGACTCAACATATGCAAGAACACTCAAATCAACCACACGGTGTTGCTATAACGGGCACATGTTTAAATCTCTTGATCTGTTTGACTCAGAGTGATGAATTTTGGCACACATGATCAGGGATATGTCTAGTTGACACACACGATATCTGACACCACTGGCCAAATGTTGATGAAACTTGGGTGAATGATGCGTCTTGCCATAGAGATCCGTCATTTACAAAATAACACTGATTGGCCCAAGGGGGGTGCTGCATCATTCGTGGGGGACAACATATTTACTGTTGCCTTGTTTATTGATGACCCTGGTGGGGAAAGGGACTGACTGGCTGTGTTTAGGAGCTGCAACAGACTCCTGCTTATTTAATGAGGAGAGGTGGCATGGGCCCTGCCATGTCTGGGGCCATCAGGGGCCTCACAGTGTTTGTGTTGGGTCCTCCCAGGGGCCACACATCAGCTCTTTCTCAATTCATCTGTCCTCGATTCCTCGCATCCTCTCTCCTCGCCTCCGCCTCAACTGTATTGGAGGAGAGGGTCTAAGGTCCTTCCTTTCTGACCTTCTCCTCCAATGAGATTTGAGAAGGAGGCGAGGAGCTAGGATGTGATGAATCGAGGAAAGGTGCCACTACATTGTACAAAGAAGGATTTTTAAGTCTTGAGACAATTGAGAAATTGATTATGTATGTGTGCCATTCAGAGGGTGAATGGGCAAGACAATATATTGAAGTGCCTTTGACCGGGGTATGGCAGTAGGTGCCAGGCACACTGGTTTGAGTGTGTCAAGAACTGCAACGCTGCTGGGTTTTTCACGCTCAACAATTTCCTGTGTGTATCAAGAATGTTCCACCACCCAAAGGACATTCAGCAAACTTGACACAACTGTGGGAAGCATTGGAGTCAACATGGCCCAGCATCTTTGTGGAATGCTTTGAACACATTTTAGTGTCCATGCCCCGACAAAATGAGGCTGTTCTGAGGGCAAAAGATGGTGCAACCAATAGTAGGAAGGTATTCCTAATGTTTTGTACACTCAATGTATTTCTGAGAGTGTATGGGGACCTGATGTAGAAGGGTACTGTCCCTCGTGCTTTGTCCCTCGTGGCTTCACACTGTTAGCTCAGGGTCCTCTGTAGCTCAGCTGGTAGAGCACGGCGCTTGTAACGCCAAGGTAGTGGGTTCGATCCCCGGGACCACCCATACACAAAAAAAAAATGTATGCACGCATGACTGTAAGTCGCTTTGGATAAAAGCGTCTGCTAAATGGCATATTATATTATTATTATATTATTATATATCTCTATGAAGGTTTGTGTGTGTGTGTGTGTGTGCGGGTGGCATTAACTCCCTCAAAAGATCCACCACATTTTAAGGATGATTGCATGGGCTGGATATTATAGTGCAAATAGAATTTAATGAACTAATGATAGTAGATTAGATCACATCTTCTAAAGACAAAGACCTCTGAATCCCACTCTTTGCTATTAACAGTAAGTTAATGAGTGAATGCGTTAATCGGATGTGATTTATCATTTTAGGTCATTCAGAGTGTATGTCATATAATTTTTCACACAGGGCGCCTTTCCTTCACTGGGAGGGCCGTTTGGGAAATGTTCTTCTCCAGGCTGAGCGAGAAGAGAGAGAGAGCGAGAGAGAGAACTATAGATGGGACAGTTGAACTGGAGACGGGGTGAAGGACTTCTGTTGATTGCTGGTTGTTACTGGAAACAGAATGTCATCCAAGGAGTTAAAATGTGTTTTTTTTCTCCCTTGTGTGTTTGCGTGTGTGAGAGCGAGCGTGTGCTTGTTATGACACAAGAGAGAGAGAAGACAGATAGCCTCCGTGTGTGTGGTTGTGGTTATGTGTTCATTTTCCGCGCGGCAGACACAGATGCTCTCCTAACCCTGTCACAATTAAATGTGGCCTCCATTTCCCAGCTGAGCCTTTGGAATTGGAAAATAAATATATAAATAAATATATAAATAATGGAGTAAATAAAAAATTGTCAGCACTTCCAATCTGTTATTCTTCTCCACTGACCCGGAGTGTGTGTGTTTGTGTATATGTACACTCTTAGAAAAAAGGTGCTATCTGCTATGACGCAGATATAATAATGAAGATTTTGTATCTGTGGTTCCTGTCGTTTTCTGTCTAAGTGCTGCAGAGATTCCTTCTGTGTGACCAAAATTGTCGGTTTTAGGAACAAACTAAATTAATCGACAATAAACTGAGAACGGGATACATCTCTCTGAATATAAATATATCTTAACACATTTCTATATTGTATGAAGGGTGAAAATGTGCTATCGAGCAGAGCCAGTTGTTACAGTCTCAAGAGTCTGCTGTTAGTGACGGTGTCTGTGTAGGAGACTCAGTTGAGCGGATCTCTGTGTGTGTGTGTGTGTTGCTATTCTTCCCCAGGACCACGATCTGCTCAACATCCTTTAGGAGTCTGGAATGCTGGCTGTAAATTCATTTGTTCTGATCCCGACTGGAATTCTTACCCTCCCATAAGCTTTACATTAGCATGGGTGTATTTCTTGGTTATTTCTTCTTAATCATTTGATCGATATTGGCATTTGTCGCACATCAGTATGAAAAATGTATGCACTCACTAACTGTAAGTCGCTCTGGATAAGAGTGTCTGCTAAATGACTAAAATGTAAAATGTAATCATGTTCAAATCAATTTGAGATACATTTGGACATGATGTAGTCCCCTGTAGCTCAGTTGGTAGAGCATGGTGCTTGCAATGCCAGGGTTGTGGGTTCGTTTCCCATGGGGGGCCAGTATGAAAATGTATGCACTCACTAACTGTAAGTCGCTCTGGATAAGAGCGTCTGCTAGAAGAACCCTTTTGGTTCCAGGTAGAACCCTTTACACAGAGGGTTCTACATGAAACCCAAAAGAGTTCTACCTGGAACCAAAAAGGATTCTATCTGGAACCAAAAAGGGTTCTCCTATGGGGACAGCCGAAAAACCCTTTTGGGTTTTTTCTAAGTGTGTGTGTGTGTATGCACACATGTGCTTGAATTTGCTATGTGTTCACCTATGCTTATCTGTGTGTGTCTGTGTCCTCTAATCTACAGGAACACTTCACCCCAGAGTGCAAGTTCAAAGAGAGTGTGTTTGAGAACTACTACGTGACGTACTCGTCCATCCTGTACCGGCAGACCCAGTCGGGCAGGGCCTGGTACATCGGCATCAACCGGGATGGACAGGTCATGAAGGGCAACAGGGTCAAGAAGACTAAGGGGGCCGCCCACTTCCTACCCAAACTCATCGAAGGTACAGTACAGTACAATACAATACAATACAGTAGGAAGTTAATTATGCTCATTATTTGTATCTGTCATTTTGTCACGTTTGCTTTATATGACGTACTCCGGTCTCATTAAAAAAAATTATTTGTTCAGTTCAATATTATTCTGTCTCTCTCTTTCCTTTTCTCACACCCCTTCCCCTCCCCCCTCCCCCTACAGTGGCTATGTACAGGGAGCCCTCGCTACATGAAGTGGTGGTGGTCGCGGAGTTGAGTTCGCCCAGGAAAATGGCCAAGGCCTCCGATTCACCTGTGCTGCAGAACGGCAAGAAAGACCCGCCCTCGAAAACCAAAACCTCCTAGCGCACAGAGAACACAGGGCCGGACATACAGGCACTGGGCACTGGCATGGGCACCTAAATGAACTACAGGGATGATATATAGAAGCAATGGAGTTACATGATGGTAGCATTAGAATAACTCAATCTCCCATAATGCAATAGTGAAGGGGTGGGGAAAGAAAGGCCAATGGAACCCTTCTTTAAAGACAAAGTCCCGGCCCCCCCACCCCACCCACCCACCCACTGCAGCCCCCTCCCCTTCTCTTACCCAACACCGTCCCTGTATGAGTCTGGGATTTCAGAGCAATACAACATGAGGAATGAGGCTGGGTGCGTCACAACTATGTACACATCCACTACCAGAAATGACCGGAAAGAAGACCGACACCTATCATCAGCATCGCTGTTTCTATCTACTTCACAACGAACAAAGTCTTCCTGTTTTTATTACAAAGGGTTGTCACGGTCAAATGTTTCCCCTCTGCCCCACCGAGCAGCAGGGGGGGCCTATTGTTCTATATTCCCAAAGGTTCCATCCATACTAATGTAAGGTTGATCCAGGATGCGTCTGCACCCTATTTCCAATATAGTGCACTACTTTGTTCCTCTCTAGGGCTGTTAACAGCAGCTTTCACCTGATCAAAATCTCCCCACCTCTTGAAAGAGAGAGAGAAACCTCCCTGCTGCACTGAACTACACACACAATTGTATTCACACACACACACACACACAGGCTGGGCAGCAGAGGGAGAGTGTTGATTGTGTGCGGGTCAGGGCTTGAGGAATGATGATGATATAATCAGTGAGATGGTGTAGATGGTCTCTGGGAGTCTGTTTGTCCATGTAGGATATTATTACACTGACTGCTTTACCCTCTCTGTGCCCAGCCATGCATTACACCATCCTATAACTACACTACAATAGATCATTTCTCTAGCTCATGCCCTAAGCCAGGGAGATACAGTATACAGGCCTACTGTGGGGTCTGGTTGAGTATTTGATATTGCAGGACAGTTGTGGTTCTTTTCGGAGAGCTACAACCTCCTAGCCTGGGTGCCAGTCTGTTTCCACTGTCAAAATCCTTATGGGATTGTCATGGCAAGCAGACTAGCACCCAGGCTAACGACCTCCTAGTTCCATGTTGATTTCTTCTTGTTAATCTCTACTTTATATGTAATAAGCAACTAGTATGCACTGAACCTCTCCAACACTGGGTCAAGTGTGTTAGTTATTATGCAAAGGAAACAAGCCTTCTTTAATGCACATCTCACCATCATGTCTCATAGGGTGTGTCCAAAATGGCACCCTATCCCCTATATAGTGCACTCCTTTTTACCAGAGCCCTGGTCAAAAGGAGTGCACTACAGGGGATAGGGTGTCTTGTCAGATGCCACCATAGACTATTATCAGCCTGTAATTTGTGCTGTCAATGTCACATCCCATACTGCACAAGAATGATGTTGCTAGGGTAAAGACCAGAAACTAAAGTCACAGATATAATAATAAGATGACTGTGGTTTAGTAATAAGGATGTGACTGTATAGCTATAAGAAGCTACCTGTGCTTCCTCCTCCATTAAAAGAAAAGAAGAAGATTGTTCATGGCTAATCTTTCTGCCAATCTATAATTCTATGATGAGTGTTTTTTTTAGTTTATGTTGATGTGTTTACTGGAGGGATATGAGCTCTGTATGCATCCCATCCCAAATGGCACCCTATTCCCTACATAGTCCGCTACTTTTGCCCAGAGCCCTATGGGGACTGGTCAAAAGTAGTGCATTATGTAGGGAATAGGGTGCAATTTGGGAGATGGGCAGAGTGGTAGATAGAGTAGGGGGTCCCTATTTTAGAGTGAGCATGCTTGTTTTGTTGCGCCAGATGAGAGAAAGGATGGAAGGAGGGTTCAGAGAGAATTATGATGGCTTCTCCCAGTGGCAGACCCGGTAATCCCAAATAAGGTGTTGACACCAGGCATCTCACACAAACACACACACTCTGCATGCGGACACACACAACCCTCCAGGACCCATGTTGTACAGTCCACCTTCATAAGCAGCAGAAGATAGAGGCCTCCAGGGTGTCTGTCTGTCTGTCTGTCTGCCTACTCCTGCGATTAACACTTCCTCACTGGTTCAGATGAATCACTTAAATTAAGCAATTAAATAGCTTCAGTTTGATGTATTCGGCCAGCCCCCCCCCCCGGGTGCTGAGCCTACAGGCCCACGTTAACACACACACACACGCGCACACACATACAAACACACATTGACACACCACGCCTGACCCACTGATTCCACAAGCTAATTCCAAACATGTCCAATTATAGAAAGGTTCTGAGAACATTAGTCTCTGGGAAGAACTAAATGGTGTGAGGGGGAGGAAGAGGAGGATATGGGGGGAGAGGGGAGGAAAGGAGAGGCGAGGGGGAGATGGGTTTGGAGGGAAGGAGAGGGGGATGGGGAGGGGAGGAGAGAAGGGGAGGGGAGCAGAGTAGAGAGAATAAGAGAATACATTAAGCGAGGGCTTCTGCTGGTGAATCAAACCAGTCAATGTTGAATAAGGTCAGTGAACCCATAAATGGGATATTTGGGAAATGGCCATGAATCCTATGATTTTACTGTTTTCTTTAAGGGCTGGGAAAATCTATGTTGCAATATATTATTATATGTCCCCCCAATGTCTTTCCCTTACATTGTTTTCAATCACAACTCTCCAAACGCAACTTGATACGCGTTAGTTACTATTAGCTATGAGATAAGAGTGTACTGTAAGTAAGTTAAGAGCTAATGCTGAGTAAATTACCTGACTAGCAGCAGATAAGTATGAAGATAATGTTGTTGTGATAGTACAACACTGATACCCACTAGTCCCTTAGCAATGCAATAGAGTACTGTCCTCTTCAGCTGGTTGAGGTCATAGTACATTAGGTAATGAATGTGAGTGTGTATGTGTGTGTTGTCGTCTGTGTGTGTTTATGTGTGTGTTGTCATCTGTGTGTGTACATAATTGTTAATACACATCACATCTGATTGGTGTGTGTTCATAAGGGTATGTTTGTGTTACTGTAGGGATAGGCGAAACTTTAAACCAAATTCAATCCCATTTGTTCAAACCCCTCAAAAACGTTTGTATGTGTGTATACATGCATGTACAGTATATCTATGGACGCACAAGGTGTGAGTACCTGTATGTACATTTATGTAGCCACAGGGTACTGCTATGCTAGTGTATGTAGGTAGGTTATGGAGTGTAGGGTTGAAGTGTGTGACATATCAATGCAGGGGTATAATGGAGTGTGGACTGTGAAGTACATATGGCTCTAATCTGACGTAGCAGTGAGATTCCTCCTCTTCTTGTGTTAATCTGACATCAAAGCCAGCAGGGTAGATGCTTCCATCTTAAATGCACACACATGCGCACGCACGCACACACACAGAAAAAAACAAATCAAGTCTCTTATTATAATTACCCTGACTGTATTCAAAGTTTATTTATTTACGTCTGCGTGTAAGTTGCAATAATGAAGATGGGATAGCATCCCAATATTACTGTACAGTAAAGGAGGATAATGTTGTTATTCAGATGGACTGTGGTTTTATATAGTCCCGCAGATGTTGGGTTTGCAGTGTTTTTGACCTTCTTTCATTAGATGCAGAGAGGGGAGACTATAAAGATGTTTATAGAGTGGAAATTGTGTGTGTGTGTGTGAGTGTGTGTGTGTGTGTGTGTGTGTGTGTGTGTGTGTGTGTGTGTGTGTGTGAGTGAGTGCATTGATTTCTGTGCTCGCATTCATAAGTGTGGGGTGTGCTGTGTTTCTGCCGTGTTCAAAGTGTTCCTTGGAACGTTGAAGTGTTGAATACATCTAAGAACAGATGCACTCCTCCTCATCTCTTTTCCACATCTCTGCATATCCTACGCCTTCCTCCGGGCAATCAGATAACACTTCAAGTCATTCAGCATGAATTACTGTGTCTAAAGACCGCCATTCATCTAATTTTTTATTGGCCCATCCACCACTCCTCTTCGGAGGAAAAAGTAACTTTGTTACAAATACATTTTTGTTACAAATACATTTTTACATAATATAATATAACATACACTGAGTGTATAAAACATTAAGGACACCTGCCTAACTTTTCGCCCTTAGAACAGCCTGAATTCATCGGGGCATGGACTCTACAAGGTGTCGAAAGCGTTCCACAGGGATGCTGACCCATGTTGACTCCAATGCTTCCCACTGTTGTGTCAAGTTGGCTGGATGGTGGTGGACCATTCTTGATACACATGGGAAACTGTTGAGCGTGAAAAACCCAGCAGCGTTGCAGTTCTTGACACAAACCGGTGCGCCTGGCACCTACTACCATACCCCAGTCAAAGGCACTTAAATCTTTAGTCTTGCGATTCACCCTCTGAATTTTTATTTTATATACACATTTGGATTCATTGGATTTTTTTAACATTTGGATTCATAGTGCTCAGACATGTCCAGTACACATGATATATATTATTTTCAGTCACAACTTTTACAGATGAATAACTATTACAGATTAAATCCACACCTCAGCTTCTCTCAGCCCATCCCACCTATCTCCATAGACCGTCCTCTCTTGATTTCCTTGTGCCATATATTTTTCAACTGTGATGTCTTTCATAGATTCTGAACCTTTCTAACCACATATTATCAACAGATTGTGATTTTAAAATGAATATTTTTGCTAGGAGTATTATTATGCTGTTGATTGATTGACTATGGCTTTCCAGATCCCCCAACAGTGCTATTTGTAGGGTTAATTTTAGAACAATGTTATGACTTTTTAGCCACTCCTGAACCTGTGACCAGAATCAAGCTACATAGGGGAAATACCAGAATTAGTGATCTAATGATTCTGTCTCTTCACAGCAAAATCTGCATAGCTGACATGGGTATTTGCCCTATATACTATACACAACATTCTGTTGGTGGCAGAATTTTTTATAATTTAAATTGAAAAACTAATTTTTGAATCAAGCGTCATTTTGTGTA